AAACTTGTCTTTCATTTCTTAAACATGGTTTTCCAGTTACTTTTGCTGCATGACAAATCACCCCAAAACTCAGTGGCTTAAAATAACAACAATCATTATTATGTTTCATAGTTTCTGTGGGTCAGGAATTTGGGGAGGACTCAGTAGGGTGGTTCTGCCTCAGGGTCTTTCATGTGGTTGTAGTCAGCTGGAGCTGGAACAGGGCGGGGACTGGCTGTGTATCTCTCTTCATGTAGGCTCAGGGCTTCTCCAGGTGGTCTCTCTGTCTGGGTTAGGTTGGGCTTCCTCACAACATGGTGGCTTTAGGGCAGTCAGGCTACTTACATGCCCCCAGCACAAGTGATTCAGTAAAGCAGAAGCTGCCTCATCTTTTCTGACTTAGCCTTGGAAGTCATGCAACATCACTTCCACTGCATTCTATTAGTTACAGCGAGTCCCAAGTCCGCCTAGATTCAAGGTGAAGGGACACAGACCTCTCACCCTTTGATGGGAGAAGTATCAAAGTCACACTGTAAGAAGAGCATGTAACATGGGAGAGATTGTTGTGGCCATTTTTGGAAAATACCATCTACCACACATAGTAAGCATCATTTTTACATTGTCTGTGTCTCATAATTCCAGTGTCTGAAGACTTTGAGGGCTACCTTATTTCTGCTGGTTCTCATTCTTGGTTCCTTGTGTGCCCAGCTATCTTTGACTGTATGCTGGTCATTGTGTTTAAAAAATTATTTTTAGGAGTAATCTGAGGCCTAGAATGAACGAACATTTCTCCAGAGAGGATTTGGTTTGCTTCTGCTAGAGATCATTTTTAATCTAGTTCAAGGTTTGAATGAAAGCTTATGTTTTCTGGGATTGGCAAATTCCTGCAGGGCAAGAGGGTCCTTCTCTGCTCATTTAACCTCTCTGTTAACAATTTTCACTTCAGCGTTAGCTTGACAGTAATTCCTTACAATCTTGTGAGCTCTTTGATGCTTGTAAGATTTAAAAAACATTTATTTTATCTAAAATCTATCGTTTTCAGCAGGCAGGTTGGTCCTAGTAATGTAGGCCACCATTAGCAGATACCAGAGTGACTTCCCTAGTCTCCATCTGTTTGCAGGTTCCTGTCCCTGACAGCATCTGTCTCCACTTCAGGGGTTTTTAACGCAGAGTTCATAAGCAATCGCAGTGTCTGTGAGCCCCTTGAAATTGAACTGAAAACTTTGGGTTTAGATGGGGCTTTTCTCTGGAGACACAGTCCCACAGTTTCCCCTCAAAGGGATCCAAGATGCCAAAAGCCAAGAGCCCACCTCTGGGAACATTTTTCTCTCTTTGTCTTTGGGGAGCCCTGGTATTGGTCTTTCGGGTTGTGGGGAGCAGAGCAGTAGGGTAGGGAAGGTGGGCGGAGATATCTACCCAGGCCCTTCCCTGCCCATAGGACACATCATCCAGTGACAGTGACTCAGACTCGGATGGGGGCGGCCGTCTCTCCCCACTCCTACCCCACGACCACCTCGGCTTGGCTGTCTTCTCCATGCTCTGCTGTTTCTGGCCCGTGGGCATCGCTGCGTTCTGCCTGGCCCAGAAGGTCAGTCTGTGTGTGTACTGTGTGGTACCTCTGGGTGCATGTGAATGGGTACTGTATGGGGTCTCCGCGTGCATGTGTGTGTGTATTGTGGGAGGTCTCGGAACGTGTCTGTGTATGGTGTGGTCTCCGTGTATATCGTGTAGTGTCTGTGTTGTGTGTGTATGTGAGTATTGTGTGGTCTCTGTGTGTGTGTATATTGTGCAGTATCTCTGTGTGTTGGTGTCTCTATATGTGTATGTATATTGTATGGCATCTGTGTGTATTGCATGGGGGGTCTGTGTGTGTGTGTGTGTGTATGATGTCTCTGTATGTGTGTGTGTTGTGTAGTGTCCCTGCGTGTATATTGTGTGACATCTCTGTATCTGTGTATGTTGTGTGGTGCCCGTGTGTATATCATGTGACATCTCTGTGTGTATGTATGATGTCTGTATGTGTGTGTTGTCCCTCTGTGTATATTCTGTGACATCTCTGTGTATGTGTGTATTGTGTGGTGTGTGTCTGTGTCTGTCTGTGCATGTATATTGTGTGATGTGTGTGTAGTATGTGGTATCTGTGTATGTGCATGCGTGTGTCCTGTGTTATGTCTGTAGGGGTGTGTACTGATAGGCTCTGTTCATTCTTTCGTTCGGCAGATATCTCTGGAGCACCTACTGTGGGCCAGGCACTGTGCTGGGTCCTCAGGCTTCAGTACAGGAAACAAACCATATTAGATATTTAGTAAGAAGGGATTTACTGTTTATTCCGCTAATATTTACTGAGTGCCTACTGTGTGTCAGGCCCTGTTCCCGGTACTGGGAATACAGCAGGGAACCAAACAAAGACTTTTGCCCAAGTGGAAGTGATGTTCCAGTTGAGGAGACCAACCGTAAACAAGAGAAATGAATAAATTTAGAATAAGCAACATGCTAAGGAGGAAAATCAAGCAGGGCGAGTGATAGGAGGTGTGGGTGGCAGTGGGAATAAAGTTTTAGGTGAGGTGGCCTGGGAAGGCCTTGGGATGAAGATGTTGGAAGGAAGGGATGAAGTGAGCCATGTGGATACCTGAGGGGAGAGCGTTCCATTCGAAAGAGGGGACAGCCAGGGTGAGGGCCTCGAGGCAGGAGTGTGGTGCCTGCCCAAGGAGTGGGGAGGAGGCCGGGGCTGGAAGGAGGTGAGGGAGGGAGCAGGGGCAAGAGGTGATCAGAGAAGAAACAGGTCTGGTCATATGGGGCCTCCTGGGCCATTGTAAGGACTTTGGCTTCTCCTCTGAGAAGGAGCCATAGGAGGGCCCAGAACAGAGGAGGGATGAGAGCTGGCTTAGGATCCCTCTGGCTACCCTGTGGCGAATACTTTAGTGGGGCAAGGGGAGAAGCGGGGAGATCAGTAAGGGTGAAATGAGGACTAATATAGGGGCTCAGGTGCTTGTAAAATCACAAGAGGGGCTGAAGGCGCTGGGCCTTTTCTACAACTCTCCATAGAACACCTTGGACCTGGCCCACGTGGGCAACTCTGCTTGTCTGAGAGGTGGTAGGAAGCTGGAGAAGGACACCCATAGCTGCGATGCAGAAGAGTGACAGCAAGCAGCTGATGCTATCACTTGTTTCTTGTTCCCCAGGAAGCTGAAGAAAGCACATCGGGACTTCCTTACTAACCAGCAGCAGCAGCTAGGTGCCTCTGATTCTCTCTTCTTTCCAAATCTTGCCCCACCTCTAATTCATACCCGGAGCCCTAGATGCAAAGGATTCTGGGAAATGTAGTTTTTAGCTCTCTGACTTCTCCATCTATGGCCTTGAGCATAAAAAAGATTGTGAGGATGGCACAGGACTGGGTTGTTTTGTTCTGTTGTACGTAGGGTCACTATGAGTCAGAACCGACTCAACGGCACCTAACAACAACAACACTTCTCCAAGGAGGAAGACGAAATTAAGGCTGAGAGAGCCAATCCAAGGATCTAACACACAGCAGAGTAGAAATTAGCCTAGTCCTTGCCCTCATGGAGTTTATAGTCCTGGTGGGCTGCACACATGTTACCCAGATAATCCTGTAAACAGGAGTAAAAGTGCTGCTTGGTCAGACAAGCAAAGCAGAGGTGGGTGGTGCTAGCAACGAAAAACAGTTGCTGTGGAGTTGATTCCAACTCATGGCAACTCCATGTGTGTCAGAGTAGAACTGTGCTTCGTAGGGTTTTCAGTGGCTGATCTTTGGGAAGTAGACTGCCAGGCCTTTCTTCCGAGGCACCTCTGGGTAAACTCAAACTGTCAATCTTTTTTTTTATGTTTATTTATTGATCATTTTCTTTTTGTAGAACATTTTTTAAATTTTTTTTATTGTACTTTAGATGAAGGTTTACAGAACAAA